CTCTCACTGATCAACACAGTATATTATGTTGGGAGGTGTTTTCAAGAATGTTTGATTGAGTATATATACGAAGCCTTGCAGCAACACGCTGTGCTTTTCGGAAAAGAGTGCACCCGTGAGGAGTCTTGGCTTTCCCAAACCTTCAACTGCGGAGTTGATGCAGCCTTCAGGTCTGCACCCGATCCCATGTCAATGCCTGAGGAAAATGTTGTGTTTGAATCCTCTGACGAAGGAGACACAGAGGAATATTTGCAGTCTTCCGATGCTGAGGGCTCTGTATTTCAGTCTTCGGATGGCAGTGTGTTGTGCGAGTCCGACATTGCGCAAGAGGCAAACCGGAATGCGCTGCCTGCTGCGAAGCGAACACGCTATGCCCCGAGAAAGAAAGATGGCTATGAGTTTTTGGGGTTACCGGTGTGCAGGGCATCTTTAGCGAGACTTATAGGTGTGGGAAATTCAACTTTGGAGAGACTCCGGAATGGAGCTGAAATCTTCACCAATGATGCGAGATCGAAGGTGCCCAAGCATCCGATGTTCGGCTTCGCCATCAGAGGCTTGGGTCAGGCTTTGTGGGAAAACGTGATCATGTATTTATGGTTTGTATACCACCGCGTGGCAGAATGTATGCCTACCGGCTTTTCCATTCCAGGCGACAAGGTCCAGGAAACACCGTTTCCGGAAAGCAATACCAACATTGATCCAGATTCCGTGGCCCGTTTGGTCAACGCTTTCTCTATGTCCTTGCAGTCGATGTCCAGTGATGTTGACCTGAGCCTGGTTGGGCCTGGCACTTTCCGGGGCTCGCTCCGTGCGCTCCCACATCAAAATCGGACAGACTTGTACTGGGATGTGGTCGCTGCATCCTATACACAGTTCCTGCGTGTTGCCAATCCTGTTTTGGGGCCGGGGGTGCGAGACGGCCATTTGCGTTTTAGGAAGGTCAATGAGCATGGCCAGTGTGACCAATGCTACCATCAAAAGCGGGCCATTTCTTCTGCGAAGACCCCAGAGAGGAGACATGCTGCGCAAAGAGATCATCGACAACACATTTTATTGCAATGGTTGGACCGACAGATCTATTGGAGCTTTCGTTCCATGTCTCAAACAATGTTTTCTGCTATGAGGTACATGGGCAGCCTTCAGGCTCTGGCTTCCTTTTCCGTTTCGCAATCAGTTTTAACACTGATTGCGGACGGTATGGACCAAGCCAAATATAAATGCCCTCGGGTGCGCACTAGGTCCAGCAAGACCTTCGAGAAGTTATGGCGACCCAAACTCCATGTTGGAGCCGTGTGGGTCCACGGAGAAGTCCTCAGCTTTTTCGTTCAGGACGAGGACACATTGAAGAACTCTTCCAACCAAATAGGGATGATATCCCGGGCGCTGGATGAATGCTTGACCTCGCATGGATGCCTTCCCCATGGGTTGAGCGTGCAGTGCGACAACACCTGTCGCGAATCCAAAAATCAGTTCTTCATGGCTTGGGCAGCCATGCAGGTGGCACTGGGAGTTTTCCGGTGGTGTGTGGCCAATTATTTAATAACAGGCCACAGCCCCTTGGATGATGAAGTCAGTGTTGTTTTGCACGGCAAGGTATATTGTTTTCTCAGTCATACAACCTTCTTTCGAGTCACCGTGAGTGGAAGTGTTGGCGCATTTCAGGCCACGAAGACATTGATCAAGTCTTTTCTCAGCAAGCGGCCATCCTGTCCAGGCACGAATTCAGCAATCCAACAGGCGTGATTGCCTTGATGGACACCTTCCGGCCCGACAACAGCGCGGAGTTCCACAGGACTAAGAGCAAGCATGTCAAGGTTCGAGCAATCGCTTCAAAGTTAGATACACTTGCTGATTGGAAGACTTGGGTACAAGTCCTTGGCATTCGCCTATTAGGGCTCAGAAACTTTCTCTGTAATTAAACATTGTGTTGACTTTTAAGTGGGCGTATTTCTATTGAGTCATGTGGTGTGGCCAAACCGACAACATCAGACTTTGGGTTGTTTTTCTCAGGACATGTGGGACAGCTTCGGTTCTCCTTGCGAATGGATTGCGACCCCCAAACGTATGGAAACTGCGAAGTGGAAGAGATTGCGGGAAGCACTCCGCATGCCTCCGATGTCCTTCTTTTGCTAAGAAGAGGATGGCTGACTCAGCGCCTTTCCGCGTGATATGTCTCATTCCGGCTTCTATGTGTCTTCAGTTGCGGAATGCCTTCCAACAACCTGTGGGGAACGAAAGCAAGCGTATCATTTCGGAGAAAGTCAAAAACAATATTCACACTTATGCTCCCCAATGCCACAAACAGGGGATCATTGACATGGATGGCCTACCTCATTTCGTGGGTGGATGGTGACAGTGAGCAGGTATCTCGCCCAACATCGTACCAGTACTTGAACTTGCGGCGATATGAAGTGCAGGCTGCTGGTGATGTTGCTGGCCGTCCATGGGCCAAGCCTCATCGTTTCCGAGTGATCCATGTTTTGCCAAAAGAGACTGCAGGCGACTCGGACTATGATGGAGAAGCAGGTCCTTTGCAGTTGGAAGATGATCAGCCTGCTGCGTGATTTGTGACACTCTTTGCAGCTAGCAAATGATCAGCTTTTTTGCCCGACTTGTCTAAGACAATTCGGAAGAAAAGAATCTCATCTCGGCCGAGTCGTTTCCTATATATATATACTGTATAGATATATATGTGTGTGTAACTTTTTGTGAGTTTCTTCTGACCCTCTGTCAGCTCCGGGTGAAGTTCATGTGCGAGAACGAGGAGTACAAGAAGAAGTACTTGTCAGGTGCTTGGAAAGATTGCTACATCTTCGATGACATGCGAGCCTTAGGGACTGGCAGGTGCTTTGACTATCGGAGCCAGCGCATGCAGGACGTGCCCAAGGTGACTTGTTTGGCGTTGGCAACTTTGCGTTGCGAAGTAGACAGCTACCAATTTGTGCCAACTGTCTTCTCTTTGTTTTCACCCTTGATCTTATCCTTTGTTCTACGAATAGGGGATGCGAAGGGCTGGTTTTGCCTAGTACTGACGTGACATTGATCTTTGATGTTGTGTGCCTTTCCGAGTTTGCATTCACCCCAGGTGCAGGTGGTCTTGATAGGGTACCCGTGCAAGAGCATCCCAATGCAAAACAACTCAGCACAGTCGTTCCTCAACGAGAGTAGCGTGACAGGCAGTGGCTATAAGTCTCTCATGAGTTTCGTTGACTACTGTCGTCCGGTGCTGGTGACGGCAGAGAACGTCAGCTCAATGCAGCATAGCCGCAAACGCTTTGACAACGAAACTCCGATCTCCATACAGAACGATGCATTTGCTCGGCGTGGTTACATGGCAGCTCACGAGTTGATCTCAGCCAGCCAGTTCGGATTGATGCAGAATCGTTCAAGGGTGTGGGCTTTGTATTGCCGGAAGGAGGACGCGTCCAGTCAGGTGTACCTTGGACCAATCAAGCTCAATCAATTTAAAGCCTATAATAAAGGGATTTTTGGCGGGTGCCTTTTGATTGTCCCACTGTTTAGATTAGTTCCAAGGGTATACCGTGACAGGTGGGTCTGTTTTTTCCCCTCCCCCCGAGGCCTTCGCCTTTGGACATTGTCAACGAGTTCAAGTGTTATCCATACCCGCTTGAGAAATTCTTCTTGCAGGACTGCTCTGACGCAGCCCGTCAACGTGCGAAATCCAACAAGAAGAAGAAGCTTGACTCCGAGTTGAAGTGGAGCAAGGACTTCGAAGAGATTTGCAAGACTGTGGGCAAGGTGACTCAGATGTCCAACAAGAACATCATTTGCCCTGAAAACATGTTTGGTTTCCTGACAGGTGCTTTGTTTTCCTGAGACTGAAACTTCCTTCCTTATTGTAATAAAGCTTCCTCGTCCTCGGTTATGCGCATGGTAGATGACAGGGGATAGTTTTCGTTGAAGTTTTGCTGTGCTGAACACAGGCAGACGTGGAAAGGAATCGATCCCAGCTCAGAGGGTTCAACATGCCGCTCACGGACAGGGAACTCGCCATCCTTTCTGTTGCTGTGACGCAATTGCAGCACAGTGGCTTTGAGCCATACAAGGAGGCCATGATCATTCAAGTAGCCCTTTGGATCCGCTTAGTTGCAATGTTGTATGTCTTTTGTCATTCAAGTTGCCCTTTGTTACCGTTCTCCTCAGATTTGTACCAGTTTTGTATAGTTTTGTAAGTAGATGCTAAGTGGGCATTTTGTTATGTAGCGTTGTTGGTATATTTGGTGGGAGTTTCCATTTCCCAAATACCAAGGACCAGAATTTTTGCCGTGCTACCTTCAACAGATCTTGCCCCGGGATGTGCCCATGCTTGCTTCCCAATGGGAAGTATGTCGTGTCCAAGCGGTTCAGCTTGCTTAGCAGCAAGGACAGGATGTTGCTTCGCTAGTCCTAGTTAAACCCATGAGAATGTGGTTGGCCAAAACCCTTGCAAGAGTTTGTATTTTGTTTTGATGAGGAGAAGATGCTCCTGCAAGGGGTGGGCTTGCAGGAATTCCGGAGGTATCGCATGGATACACTCAGCAATAGCCAGCTGAGCAACATGGCAGGGAACGCGTGCCCACCTCAGTTCTCCTCGTTCCGGAGGCCCTAAAACATTTTTTTTGCACGCTCAGGTTCAGCGCACCGGTGTGCAGTGCCTTCCTCATCGCCGGATTGACCTGGGCAGGGTTGTGATAGCAATAGGTTGAGTGGCGGTAGCATTCAACTCAAGTTTCAACCACTCGCCTGAGCCCTGTGTGTAGCATCCAGGCCTTAGAGGGTTGACTGCGGGGTAGTTGCCTTTTGAGTCGATGTTTCTGATAGCAGGATTGCTGAAACAAACCATTTGCTGCTCGCAACGCTGCGATTAAGTTGATTGCTTCCTGAGTGCATTCAGTGTCATATTGCCGGTCCAGGTATTGCTTCCTTTCAGATTGCTCCTGCCTCGCTGCTATTTGTTGCAGTTGTTTTTCCCTGAGGGATTTGGTGACTCCTTTGCCGCGATGCCGCCTCGAAAGAAGGCGAAGGGCTCTGCCTTAGCTCAGGCATTTGCTGCAGGAGCCTACACTCCGGCATCTGCGACGACGGTTGATGACCTGCCTCGATTGCAACTAGATGCCATGGACTTGGTTGAGGGCATCTATTCCTTGAGGCATGCAAAGCCCACCGATGTGCACACAGATCCTCTTTTCGGGATGGTTCCAAAGGACGGGCTATATCCATGGCCCATCTGTCATGGTGGCACGTTCAAAGACATCGCACAAAGAGCTTTTGAGGACAGTGATCGTCTTGTCAGCATGTCCACGGAGTTAGCCTTCCAAGCAGGCCTGCTTGAAGTCCAGGATGATGCCGAGTTTTTGCAGCACTACTGCAAACTGGATGTTTCTTGGATTTTGCTTCTAAGGATCATTGAGTTTTCAATTGGGGTATTTGGGAAGGTCATGGATTTTCTGTCAAATCAACAAAGACATTTTTTTGAACGAGTTTCGGTTTAGCTTCAGCCACAGTGTGTTTAAACTAGGCTTGGCCACCTGAAAAGTCAGAAGCCTTCGAGACGTCCGTGCTGGCTTGGAGCTTTGCGGATCAGAGCTTTTGGCGAGGACATGCCATCGCGATGAGCGAAGTGGTGAACTTCGCACGTGCAATTGCTGCAAGTCGATTCCACGAGGCAGGGTCAAACCAAGGTATTCAACTGTTCACCGGGAATGATGCTACCAATACTTGAGATATGATACACAGAGCAATGTCATCAAGGTAAATTCATGGCGAGGATTTCTGAGTACCAGGTTTGGCGAGATATGGGCGTCTGGGATCTTAAAATCATGCCGAGGTTTTCCAACAATAGGTATCATGCCGAGGTGTTCTAGCAACAGGTATGGCGAGGTATTTGAAGAAAACCTCAAAAAAATAAAAGCAAACCCTAAACCCTAAACGTTTCGGTTTTTTGATTGCGGCAGCGGAATTTACATAGATATTATTTCTCTCCATGCTATAGGGGATCAGATTTTTCAAAATGTAGCTCTCCATGATTCCTGATCCATGGAGAGCTGGATTTTTCCGGGCTCATTTCCGGGTTTGACTGCGGAAGATTTGAGAGAATGTTGGACATAAGCTCATGGAGAGCTACTCAGCGAGTAGCTCTCCATGATTCACTCTTTCGGGGATTCAGACTCTAGGTGAGCTTTTGCTATTCTACTCAAATCCAGATTCAGCCTAAGGGCCAAATAACTCAGAGAAGGGTTAAGTTTTAAAACCTTTTTGGAACATATTCTTCCCTTGAGCTTCGCCAGGGGGAGACGGTGACTCTTCGGCTTCCATGTGCACCGTTGAAGCCGGTGAACCTTGCCATCGGATCTTTGTTCTTCAGTGATGGGTCTCAGAAAACCCTTGGAGCCTTTATTGTATGGATTGCATTGTGCCTGGCAGCTGGGAGGGAGAGCAACCAGGGAACGTTTGGGAACGATGCCAATGTGCAAGCATTGCTGGGTTCGCTTTTGCGAATCAGAACAGTTCTCAAAGGAAGCTCTGGATCTTCAGATGATCTGGACAGTGCTGTGGCAAGGATCGTGAAGCAAAACTTAGATTCAAAGGTCCAGCCAGTTAGCTCTTTGGCTTGGTGCTCCATTTTGACTTCGGTGTGCGATGGCAGTACTGGTTCATTTGACTCAGCGATGGCCAAGTACAACGCACACCCCGAGGTGCGAGCAATGGACTCTTCAGGCGGAGCAGGTCCTATCTCTCTTGACAATCGGAAAAAACAGGCACGGTATTCTGGTAACCGGTGGTGTGTGTGTGTGTGTGTCAGTCTGTGTGTGTGGGAGGGGAAGGGGGCAAGATGCGAAGGACTCAGCTGTTCGACATGATCCAAAGATCAAAACATCCAAACATTTAGATTTTTTGATGGGTTTGAGATCCTTGAGAAGGTATTGTTGCGGAACCTTTTCTGGATTATTTTGTCTGTACGAAACAATGGAAACCTTCCTCCTCTCACTTACAAGAATCTGCATCGAGATTGAAATTGAAATTGCGGCCAGGCAGTGAAGAACCTTCTGAACTCCACTGCTCCGGACGCGTTCAAGGAGTTGCTTCGTAGCACACACGACCTGCCATTCAGCCACGGCCCCTTCGGGGAAGCATTTTGCGCTGTTGGGGCTATGTTCATCGGAAGCGTTGGCAAGCTGGAATCCATGGATGCCGAGTATGACTCCATGCAGCCGCAGCCACTGCCGCACGAAGCGTTCATTACCATCGATTGGCAGCTCAGTATGACTCCCGAGGCGCAGACACTCCTGTTCCGGCGGGTGAGGATCACCTTCGACCGGGTAACGGGAATGGTTCCACAGAATTTGAAGAAACGGTATCGTATGGGGACAGAGGAACTCCTACGGGTCAGGAACATGGTTGTAATATTCAGCCAGATTTTGGGACACCTGCGGGCTCGGCTGAGCACAGAAGAGGTGGCAAGGTGGATTGAAGATGTTGAGACTGGCATGGGCCGAGATGAGGACCTGATGCACTTGTTGCACCGCAGGCCCAATGTTTTCTCTCTTTCCATGCTCCTCTCGCACCAAGAGAAGGCCTCGGAAGACTTGCAGGAGTTAGAGAGGAAAAAGGTAGAGCAGGTTGAGTGCCAGCGTCAGGAAGTTCTGGCTGCACAGTGGAAGTACTTCTGTGCTGCCCTGGAGAAGGACCAGGAGGGATTGACGATTGTTCAGAGAGCACCAGCCCAAGTTCGGCAGAAGCTCCATGTGAAGCAGGTTGCGCATCGCGGGAAAGCCATTGCTGCGGCAGAAGCAGCATGCGCGGGATACCAGGAGCGGATGACTATTCTTTCGAAGCCACATGATTTTAGCTTAATATGACACAATCATTCATTTCAATTTCACTATTAATATACATATATATATATATATACATATTTGGTAAGAGTTTGGTAAGAGTTCAAAAGAATATGTTTTTCTCAATTGTTGCCTGATGCCAGGAGTCGTTTTTTTGCGTGTGCTCAACATCGAAAAGGTGGAGCTGGCCAAGGCAGAGATCAGCAAAATGAAGTTGCAAATTGCAACTCGATTTGGTCAATATCTCCTTTCGGAAGATTTGTCGAGGGGCTTCTTGTATGTAAGTGTTTTTAGCGGCGCAATGGGAAAATTGAAAAGATCGAACATGATTCCTTCATTCTGTATGTCCAGCTGAGGCATCAGATTGCAACGTGGGCTTGGATCAAATTGCCACCCTCGGCTTTGTTGACTTCAACGTTCCCGGAGCTTGAGGAGGGAAGTCCATTCAGGCGTTATGCCAAGCCATGTCAATCGTGAACGACACAGGCAACCCTGCGGTCAACGCGACCTTGGCATGCTTCCCCGACATTCCGAAGGATTCATCTCTTCGAGGGCTTTACGACGAGGAGAAGAGCATCCTGGAGGCCTGCTTCGGATTTCGACAGCACGTGGAGACTCGATGGGTGGACTTGCTGACACGGGAGCGGCATGTTGAGAGCCGCAGCAATGTGCGGCGATTTTCCACTGGACGGCTGGTGGTCAACGGGGACAGCAAGGACAGCAACATATTATGGCTCCAGAGTGAATTGGCCGTATGCGGCCGCCCTGTTTCCCAGAACGAGCAGGAGAATGGTGCTCCGACCAGCGTGTTGCCGAAGGCAAGCTCATTGCTCCTTCCGGAGGGCTCAAGCCCCGACTCAGACCTGCGGATCTCTGAGCGCAACCGTCCTAGCCCTGAGCAGCAATCGGCTCAGAAGGGTGCAGGTCGTTTGCAATTGCTCTTGGAGTCGCTCGTGAAGTTCACTCCTTTGAAACGGCCGGTTTTGCTGGTAAACTGGACTGGCTATGTAGAGGAGGTGGCTTTGGCAGCAACTTGGATTCATGAAATTCTGAAGATTCATTCTTCCTTTGAAACATGCGTTTGTGTGAGTATGGGTGATGGTGTATGTGGATTGTGTTTCTGGAGATTTTGTTAGACATGTTAGGTGTTTCTCCCTTGTCAGGTATTGAACTTGAGAATCAAAGGGCCTATGCTTGGTGAGGGAGGTGGCTTCAATTTCTCGGACATGCGCTATCTGTCATGTCACACATTGGATTCCACGGCGGGCTATGAGTATGCCCGGCGCAGAGTCCTGAGGGAATTGCTTGACGCCTGGTTGCAGAAGAGGATATCCTTCGAGGGACGCACATTTGAAGAGCATGACGTCCGCCTCAATGACCAGGATTGATCAATTGCGTTTCCATATTCTAGTCAATACCTAACTTTGCATACCTTTTTGGAAAAAACATGCTGCGACAAACTTCTTGCTTTCTTGTTCACCTCCGTTTACTCCAACAGGAGATGAAGGCCATCCCTGGAGCAGAGTTTGTCGGGTCCATCGACTCGATGGGCTTGAAGGTTTGCGTGCGGCAGGGAACTGCTGTCGTCATTCACCCAGACCAAGAAAAACAATGGAAGAACAGCGGGCAGGAATTCGCCGAGCAGTTTGCTGCATTGAAGCAGCACCACGAGACGCATTACCAGAATCTCCTTTCTGATCAACTCTCACAGAGCAAGTCTGCGATTGTGAAGGCCACTGCTGCTGATTCGAGTGCGGCTGACACGGCTGTGGCTGATCCTGAGCCGCCAAGTGGTCCTGGGGAGCCTTCTGCAGAGAAGCCTGTGACCTTTGAATCTGAGGAAAAACTGGTTCAGAGTGATCCGATTGAGACCCGCTGTGGTTCTGAAGTGAGCGGGGTTGAATTGATCAGGTGCAAGTCGGGGAAGATCTACGTGATGGCTGACAAAGCTAGGGTGATCCCGCGATGGACCTTGCTTGGGGGTTCGGCGCGGGAAAGCATCTTTGAAAAGAGATAGTTTGCAGATGATATTTTCAATTTTGACTCCCAACTTCCTACAGTAGTTCTCAAGTCAAGGAACCTGCTTTTGATTTGTTTCGCGCTTTTCGGTCCCGCTCGGGTAAGTACAAGATGTTGTTCAAATATGACTCCCAACTTAGTTCTCAAAACTCAGGGAACCTACTGTTCATTTAACTTGCTTATCAGTTTTCAGTCTGGCTCGGGTAAGTACAGGATGTTCAATGTTCTCTCTCTTTCTATATATATATATATTGTATAGACTTAGAATCCTCAGAAAATGACTATGTTATCCACCTGCCCACCCCGCCATCCATTTCTTGTTGTGTTCACACGCACATTTACGGTCACATACATACCTACACATGCCCAAATCCACAACCACGGACCTTCATTTACTTTGAGACGTACACACACACACACACTTGGCAACAAGGACCACCGCAGTCACGCCAATGCACAACCACAAACAACCACAGGGCAGGGCAAGCTACACAAAAGGGGAAGGTGAAGGTTGAGGGTTCGAGTCCCCTGCTGGTCCATGTTTTCTTTTTTCAGGGAGCTTGAATGGGGTCCCACCCTACTCTTCGCTCGTTCTCACATGTAGCATCTCAGGCTGGGAAGCAAGACACCTACATCCTAAAGCATATTAGTACATATTTGCACATGGTGATACATCCTGATACGCGCAACATATAGTGACCCCTTTTGTGACACACTCATAGATACTTACACCAATACTACTGTAACACATACCAATACAATCCAACACATAGTACCACCAAATGCTAGAAGCTATGAACCATTACATACTTATTATTGCACAAATATTTACAACGTAGTGCATACCAATACAAACTAGAAGATGCTAAATGCTAACACGTACTGAGAAATGATCAAAACACATGAATTGTTGAGTCCATGCAATGGCGTTAAATACATCTATCATCTAAATACAAAGCACGCTAAACCAGTCAAAAGCATACTAATGAGTCTATATTGACATACTGTACATACTTTCGGCGCTAGTGAAGAGACATGCGCATAATACACATACATACACATACTAATACGCGTACACATACATGCATGCATTCATTAGTCCATACATTTGACGTGCTCAGGTATGTGGCGTGCTCTGATTCCTCGGAAGCAGGAGTGGAGCTCAAGTGGGACGAGGGAGACAAAAGCATGCTGCAGATCGACCATTCGTCCATTGTGCCAGATCAGAACCACGTGGAGTGCATGTCGCTGTACCGTCTGCTGGTGCACCTAGAGACCACGAAGAAGTTGGCAACGCACAAAGTGTCCTACACTGATGTGAAGCGCGTCACTGACCACAATTCGACCAAGCCAGATTCGTTCGAGGTGACTATCAAGGACCGCCACCAGTACCAGCCTTTGAGTGAAGCCGGCAAAGCTAACACGATGAATTTTTTTTTTTCTCTCAGAGCATTGCCCAGGTGCGTGACTCAAAGCACCTGGCATGCATTTTCCGATGGCGATTCGAGAGAGTTCACGGCTGCCTGAAAGTGCAAAAGCCATATGTGCTCAATTGCGTAGCGCTTGACCTCAAGGCTAAACAGCCTACTTGTCTCGCCTGATGATCCCCGGAACTGTGCGATCCAGCCAGAACAAACATAATATGTAGACTCATGATAAAAAGCGGTTTAGGTGGAGATTTTTTGAACTGACTGTTCTATCCAACATAGATTGTTGTTGGGGTCATGGGGGCCGCAGTGCTCAAGGCATGGGATCGTTATTATGTAGTAGGTGCACGATGGTGCATGGCTTTGAAACAAGCTATGAAGGCATATGAAAGACAAGCTATAGATCGAGACAAACTGACAGTCAGCCGATGCTTTGCGTGCGTAACAGTGTAACAGTTTGAATGACACGTTTATGTGCTGTAAATACCGGATGCTGAAACTTTTCCCAGACCCAGAATAATGTGCTATTATCATTGGAAGAGTCCTGGCGCATTTGCCTTTTTGTTCAGTGTGCACAGTTTATGTTTCTCATCGCCTGAATCCATGGCTGTTTTCAGTGGTGGTTACAGAAGATGTGATTCCTCGCTGCGCAGCACACATGACTGGGTTCATTTCGTGGATGGATAAGCAACGAATGTGGATCAAGAGAAAGCAGCTGCGGGCCAGTCAGCCTGTTCTACAACGGCAACGGCAGCCGGACGCTGAGCCTTCGCAAGCCTTGCGCCGCATGACCAAGCACCTTTCCGAGTCTGACTTTGAATCAGTCTGGGAATATTCAGACCCTGACGAAGTTGTTCTACCAGATTGGCTATTGGTCGCTCGCCCAAACGATGTGAGCAAGTGTGTGCGGCATGCTGTGAGTGTTGGGCACCCGGTAATAGTGGCCCGAGAGCCGGGGCCAATTGTTTTCCCACCACCTTGGGGTTCTGGCACATGGCCGGATAGCTATGAAGCCGATTATGAAGCTTTGAAAGCTTCTTTTGCGTAATAGCTTTGAAAGGCATTGCATATTGTGGGTTATGTTCATTTTGAGAACAGGGCACCCAGGGGGTCAAAAATGATACAGCGCAGTCATCGGTGAGAAATTTTGCTTCATATTCAGACAAACAGATCGACAGGTTTGGAGGCCTTCCTCGTATTCACTTTTCGTTTATCGTGCTATCGCTTTTGCGGTTGTGTCAACTACAGTCAGTCAGCTGTTTTCCACCTGCCATTTTGAATGCAGTTTGTTCCATGCATTTCAAAATCTCAGAGGCTTCATGTTGCTTCTCGCGAGTTGTGCATGTTGCTTCGCTGATACAAATTTGCAGTCAAGAAGTTTTCCGTGAATCAATGCCAAGTGCCCATGACCTCGAACACGGATTTCATACGCGATGCTGTCATGCGGCGACTCGTCGTGGCACCTCCCAGTGACTTCTACTCTCCACAAAATAGCCAGCGTGCTGCAGATGACAGTGGCCGCATTGTTGCCACACAGCGCGCCGCAGGGAGCAATGATCAGACGCCCCTGGAGCGAGTGAGACCTGCTTTGTCCCCTTCCTGTGGCATCAGTGCCCCGCCAGCGACAATAGAGCAGTTAGAGTCAGAGTTTCCAGAGCCAAAACGGGCTGACAATGAAGAGCCTGCAAAGCAGACAGCATCAGAACCAGTGCCTTCTGACTCAGTCGATCCAAATGCTGCTGCGGTGCCAAAGTCTGGACAAGACGATTCGCAAATGTCTTTGTTGTACGAGTCTGACATCGAAGAGCGCCCAGCAGTTCTCCCGACCGCCAAGGTGGCATTGATGAAGCGACCAGCGGCTGCGAAATCTAGTGCTGCGAAATCTACCACAAAGACTTTGAAACGACCTGCAGCTGCAACCGAAGCAGCTGGAGATTCAGTTGCGGAGAGGATTCCCTCGAATGGCAAGAGGCCTGCGAGTTTTTTCAAGAAGGAAGAGCGCCCTGAGGAGCTTCAGCCTGCGGAGGGTACATTGTTCCCAGCTGCTGACAGATCCTTTACGGATGCGGATGGTCAGTGGCAGGCCGGCGTTTTGTGTTTAGATTACACAGGAACAACTTGTCAACTCACCTGTGATGATTGCATTCATTGTCAAGAGTGGGGTCAATGAGTTTCCTCCTTCAGGTCTTCGAGTTCGAGCGCAAATCCGGAGATCTGCAAGGGAAAGTTTGGCGGAAGATTGTGCATCGTGAGACCGGGACAGTTTATCCTTCGTATGCGAAGGCAGCTTTGGCAGGTTTTGATATCAATAAGATCCAGTTTGAGTAAAGTTAGATTTTGGCAGCGAGCGAAGGTATGGAGCCTTGCCATCATGCCTAATAGGACATGGATTGGTGGTAAACCTGGTGGCCTTTCCGTTGATACTTGTTCTTTTGTTACTTTGATTGAAGTGTATACGAACCGTTCAAGCCAATCCAAGCGTGTCGGATTCAAACCTGGCGAACTGCGCCTGTTCAAGATGTGAGAAAAAGACAGGGATGCGAGTGGTTTTCAACTGAAAGACGAGAAGGAAACTCTCGAGCGGTGGTTGTTTTCATGTAAATTCAACATAAGGAAGGGTGAACTTGTTCATTAGCGTGTGTGTATATATAGTCTCAAAACTGTTTATAATGCATGCAGTGTGTAAGACACGTGCTACATAAAGTTTTTATCAGCAAGTAGCACACACCAACACTTGTTGCGCAGCACAGTCCTGCAAGTCGTGAAACGTAAAGTCAAAAACATAAAGCGTTGGAATGCTGTGTCGTGTTAAGAATGCCATCATTGCTACCACACGATCCTGAACAAGGATTCGCAATATTAACACAAGGAACAATTCGGCCACAGAACACAAGCAACCCTATGTTGCTCAACTGTTGCCCTGGTTGCGTCTACATGTCTTTCCTGCCCCCCAATGCATGACAGTGAAAACGGAATTGTGTTTTCTCTTGCTTTCTATCTATCTAAGTGTGCCTTTCAACTGGTGAGTCCCACGGTGGTCAGCCGTGTGTCACACTGTTCTTTTGCGGTTGCATGATAACCGCGAGCTTTCTATCTAAGTGGGAGTTTCAACTGCTGAGTCCCACGGTGGTCAGCCGTGTGTCACAATGTTCTTTTGCGGTTGCATGATAACTGCGAGCTTTCTACCTAAGTGCGTTTCAGCTGCCGTGTCCCACGGTGGTCAGCCGAGCTTTCTATCTAAGTGTGTTTCAGCTGCCGTGTCCCACTGTGGTCAGCAGTGTGTATCATGAGGTTATTGTATCAGCACTTCTCACCACAACTTGAAATCCCAAGTCCCATGAAAGAACCATCTCTCAAGGAAATGGATTAGGAGTGGGGATAAGGTTGACGTACTGCCAGCGCTCGTGGGGTTGCTTGTTTGCTGCGGCAGTAAAGCTGGGTGAAGTGGTGCTGGGAATGCTTGCTGTAGTGTTGGAAGAGGTTGATTGCTCCGTTTGTGGTGTGGCTGGGATGCCGGCGAACGCGGGCAAGTGGACAATACCGTTGATGTCTGTCTGTGTGTGGCGGTGGTGAGTGGCCGGTCGTGGAGTAGTCTGTTGCGATTGGTGGAAGTGAGGGGCGGTGAAAGGGGTGTCCAACACGGACATCCATGGCGACATTGTCTGAGTGGTAGCATCTTGAATGCTCGCATGTCTGTTGGTGGTGGTTGGTAATGGGTATAGTCGGAGTGGTGTGATGTGGCTTGGTGGGGAGGCTGTCTGGGTTTGGGTTGGTGTGGTGAGGTTGGGGTCCGTGATGTAGGCCGCTGGTGGAAAGCGGGCCAGTGTGTCGATGGCGTTGAGGGCGAGGCGTGTGTGGTGCTGTGCACGTTGCAAGTTGTTGTGGTAGATGGCGATAATACGCTGGATGGGTTGTGGCAGAGTGTCAGTGATCGGTAGATGTCCAATGGGTGTTTCGCCGAGAGCTGTGTGGGTGGCAAGGTGCTGATGAAGAAGAAAACGATGGATGTGGAGGTCGGTCAAGACTCCCATCAGGGCATGTGGTGGGTCGAGAGTGTCTACTTCGGACCAGAAGGCTTGGTCTGCGGAAAGGGTGGGAGGTTGTGCTGATGTCGCTGTTGCTGGTGGAGATGTGGGAGGTGGAGATGTGGAAGGTGGTGGTTGGTTGTCTTCAGCATCATCAGTGAAGACCAAAAGAACCTCTGATTGCTCATCGCAATCCTGTGTGTGAGCCATAATTGGTCGACAGAGAGGGCACAACTCGAAAAGGAGGGCGACTGAGACCTAGTGTGCAATCAAGCTGAAAAACGGCTGCAGTAATAGAGGAAAGATTTGAAATAAAACGTGCAGTCAGAACGGTGGGAAAATACTTCATGACATAAGAATGTAGTGTTGTTGTCTTTTTTGGACGGCGATAAGTCATGATGTTGGGTGAGACTTGAGCTGTCAGTCAGCGGGATGCCATTTCCACAGCAGCAGCGGCAGCGGCTTGTCTAGCGATGCGCAGTATAGCATGTTGGAGAGTAGCCGCTTGTTGGTCGGTCAGTGGTGCGTCTGGGATTGGTGGGATTGGTGGAAAAACAGTCGGAGTGGTTGTAGAAGAGGTTGACGGGAAGAGTGGCTGTGGAGCTGGACAGGGCGGTGATTGTCTGGAAGGGAGCAAGGGTTGTCGTGTGCGGTGTGTGGTGGGGTTGAGGTAGTGCTTGATGTCGCTGGAGAAGTTGAAAGGTAGGATGTGCCCATTGTGTTGAGGACGTGGGATGGTGACACGGAGAATGGTCTGTGTGGGTGGTGTGTGGTGGATGTGACTCGTGTTCTGTGAGGCTGTGCGGGTGGTTTGCAAAGGAGGTGGCCCTACCCAGGTGGTGTTGAGTGGCGGGTAGCCAGGCCGTGCTTTGGGCAGGATAGGAACGTTGGTGGTGAGGATGATGGGGTCCTCACTGCTTGTGGACGATGTCGTGGATGGCGGCGGTGCTGTGATGGTGGGTTTCGGGGCAGCAGTGGTCCGTGGCAAGGTGGTGGGTTTGGGGTTGGCAGGCGAGGTAGTGTGTGTGTGGATAGGTTGCGGTAGGGGGCATGTGGTACTGGTGGCCTTGGCTGGTGGAGTGGAGGTGTCAGGTAGGCTGCTGACCGGAGGACATAGGAATGTTGCAGGGGAAGGTGAGTCCTCCTCTTTTTTGGCATCTTCGAATTTGATATCCTTGGTGGAGGATGTTTCTGTTTTTGCCATGATCTGGGTTGTCTCCAATGGCTCGTCTTTCGTCTCGATCTCCACGGAGGGGGTACGGTCCCAATCGGGCGACTCGTGCTCCATGATGGGGAGGGAACGGCAGTGGTGTGGCAGGTGAGCGAGCTGAGATAGATCAAATGGCTGCGGAGATAAGGCATGAAGTGGCAAGGAAACACGAAAAAACATAAAGTAAAGCGTTGAGATGCTGTTTGGTTGTTTTCCGTAGTGGCGTGTTCGAGGTGAGACTGTACAAAGCTATGGTAGTATCAGGGATGATGCGCTGCAGGTCCGCCGGGAGAGTGGTCAGCGCTTGAAGTCGTAGAGGCTGTCCAGAGCGCCCGGTGAAGTTGGCCGCGCTGTCCGGCGGTGGCCAGGGTGATGTTTGCTAAAGGTTGCCGTGACTGTGTCAAGAGGTTTGGGTTTGGAGGTGTGGTGAGGGGGAGGCGATCCCGAGATCTGGATCGACGCCTGCTGTGAAGATGCCGAATGAGTGATGTTTGTGGCGCAGGTGTGGCGTCGGTTGGTGTTTGGGTGTGTGTTGTGGTGGATGGGGTGAGATCGGAGAGGTAGTTGGTGTGGCTTGGTGCGAAAGTCACTGTGGGATCCATGCGGTAGTGACCAGGTGAGCCCGGAGAACCAGGCAGGAACTGAAGAATGCTGAGCCCTCGCTGGGCTGTTGATCAAGTGGCGAAAGTTGGAGGTAAAGTCTGTATGCCGGTGTGTTGGTGAAGGAGGACATCGGAGGGATGGGGTCGTGGACTAGGGGGTGATGCTGGAGATCGTCCACCAGTGTTGTGATGGTGTGGAGCAGCCAGTGGAGGAGAAGTAGTTCTGGTTGATGTGTGGCTGTGGGTGCCATGTATGGCATTGGATTGGTGGGTAAGAAATGCCCTTGGTGAGTGGTGGGTGGATCGGTGAAGATGGTGGCTGTTGCTGGGGAGTGTAAAGTTGGAGTCGGAGCATCAGCGCGCAGCAGCATGTCGGCAATGTGGCGCTCAGTCATGAGAGATAGGGAGGAAGAAAGCGGTACGGTGAAATGGCTGCGGAAATAGAGCACAACTGCTGCATTGTAAGTAAGGACAGAAAAAGACAAGAAAAAAACTGCGATGGTGAAGTTTTGTCACTTGGGCTCGCCGTAGATTGTCGGTGAGACGAAGATATGAATCATGAATCGCGGCCCGAGGGGTGTTCTCAAGTGGAGGAGTGAGCATGGCGATCGGCCGCAGGTCCTCAGCTAAAAGGCTGCTGTCAGGCTTGTTGTTGTGGATAGGTTGGTGAGTTAGTCAGCATGGGTGTCTCGGGAGCGTGAGCGCTCTCTGGCGCGGTGGTCGTTGGTCTGGCCGGGGTAATGGTTGGCACGTGGTGGAGGGCCAGTCCAGTAGCTGAGAAAGCGCTGTGCGTCCTCAGGGGGTGTGCGTGGTGTTGGAGAAGGTGAGCGGTCTGAAAGTGTTCGTGGTAAAGGGAAACCAGGTGGTGTACTGTGGAGGGCAGCAAGGTTGCTGGATGAAAGTCGTGCTGAGGGGTCGATGCGATATTGTCCCGGGAGTCCAGGTTCTCCGGGGACGAACTGGAGCAAACGTCGAGCTTGATAGATGCTGTCGACCAGGCGGTCCATTAGCGTCATGGCGCGTCGTAATTGGTAGAGTATGTTGTATGCTCTGTAATCTTGGAAGTATGTTTGGTCCGGCATGGGTTCTGTGTGGAGTGGGTGGCGGCGGATGTGTTGGATAATCAGGAAAAGGATGCCCAGTGAGCAATTGAGTGAGTGGAAGTCTGGCTGAGTGTCAATGGAGGGGCGGAGCCAACTCAGAGGTCGTCCTGGTAAGTAGTATTCATTGCCTGTATTGTTGGCTGTAGTGCGATCACGAGAGGAGGCCATGAGGGGTAGGTTTGCGGTGGGAGATGGTTTGGGGGAGGTATCGTGAACTACCATGGAAGCAAACAAGAGAGATTAGTACAGCTTGGGCAAAAGTTCATTTGGCAGGTACGTTCAGAGAGCGTCCTCTCCGAATGTCACAGTCTCAAACCACCGTCTTCGTTGGGCAGTGGATGGAATGAGACTCACTGCCCCCCTGCCGGTGAAACTGTGGTTGAAAAGTGGTAGTTGAAGTGGTGGTAGGAAGCCCTTGGCCCAGGGTTGGACACACACACACACGAGTGCAAAATTTTGAGGGATCACACACATGAGAGCACACATGTGAGCGCGAGCATATGAGAGCAAACGAATGAAAGCGCGCGTGCCATAGATGAGAGTACAAATCTGAAAGCACACATAATTATGAGAGGTGCATTTTTGATAATACTTGCGAGCCTATCACAAAGTGCGCTTCGTCCCACGAAATCTGGACTGGCACTTCAAGGTTCGCAAAGTGCTGCGCCTGCCATTGCATTTCAAGGTTCGCTTGAAAGTGCGCACAGCACCACAACGAGAGCGCTTCGAGGAAAGCACCTGCTCGGGACCACCATTTTTGTTCAAACCTGCGCAGTTGAAATGGACTTCGAAGATCTCGAGATATGTCGCGGAACTGTTGTGCTGTAAGAGTCATCAAATTTGCCGCCGACAGATGTGAACACTCTCGCTCAAATCCGGAGCCAAAAACCCCAAGCGTGACCGCACTGTTAGGAGAAAAACAGTCAGAGTTTGTCACTATTTGGAGGGGGCCGTTTAGTAGTAGGTCAGTAACTATATATATATATATATTTTTGTGTATATGTATATATAACTACCCACATTAACCCATTACCTATTCTCTGGGGACGATCTGTGCAAAAAACAAAAAAAACTTCCTTCTGAGCCCACCTGCTCCTCGCGGTTGGCAGGCTGCTCGGGCCGCTCTGGCACTTCCGGCTCGGCGACGGGCACTGTGCCGATCTGCGGCTTCCGGCGGCTCTCGTGCGCTCGTAGGTTCTGTGGCACCGGATCTGCGCGCTGGACGGCGAACTCGCGCTTCTCGACCTCGTCCGAGAAGCGGATGGAGCTGCGGCGGGTGCTCGTGAGGCCGGAGGCTTCCATGGGATCCGCGGGCATACGCCGTGGAATACGAATCGCCGGAACCGGGCTGGAACTAGGCTGGGAAGGCTTTGTCTTCAGGATCGGCTTCAAGGTTTTCTCTTCCTCTATAGCCTTCTTTGTCTGAATCACAATGGGTACATCTGCTGCGCTGATGGCATCCACCACCTGAGTACCACCGCCGGATGTGCGTGGGGACAAGATCGCTGCGCTCTTTGGCAAGGGCCCCTTCCGGCGGTCGGCGTCTGCAAAGTGGCCCAGCAAGTTGAACCATTCGTCCCTCTGCTCTTCCGAGCCGGCCGCCAAACAAACCTGCTTCCCGCCTTGGTGTTGGCATGTGTTGGCTGTATCACCTTGTTCTTAGCAGTCTTAGCAGCAACCCAAGGTTTCTCAAACCTTCTTTCAGCTCCTGCCCCCTGGTGTTTAGCATCCTCAAACACTAAACCCGTCCGTGGGATTCGTCTAGTATAAGTGATAATGCAGGGCATACATCTGCGCGTAAGTTTAGTTAAGTTATATACATCATTGGTTATATATTAAATATTTATATATTTATATAAGCTGTTATAACCTATTAACACAGCTCATGTCCGGCATGCCCACACACACAGACACCCAAAACGCCTGCGTTTTCCCGTAAATCCTCAGCGTACCAAGTCACCGGTGCTCAATGCAAAGGCGAAGGGCCGCACAGCTTCGTCCTCGTCCAACTCGCGGAAGGAGCCGCCGACCTGGTGAGTCTGAACCAAAGAAGAGGTCAAACAAATTTAACGGCAACTCGCTACTAGTAAGTAGCTTTTGGTTACTAGTAGTAATGCTAGGAGCTACTAGTAGCGTCCTTGCTCCTAGTAGCGATGCCCTTTGTTAGTTACTCTTGCTCACGTTTAAATTGCTCTTTAAATGCAGGCGGAGGGTTGTCTCCAATCTTTGCCAGTATTTTTGCTTATGGTCAGTCCCCAACAATTACTGCGTGATGTGCATCCCATTCATGAGCAGTAGAACCAAAAGACCTCCGCGTGGACTCATTGTCCGTGTAGACTCATTGCTTTGATTGGAACTATTATTATGTCCTTTGTGCTGTGGACACTGACCCCAACCTGCAAACAGTGGCCAATGACGGCACAGCTCCCAACCCAATCTTTCGATATCAATATTGTTGTGCCAATCAACCTCATGGCTTGTGCTGTTTTGATGGCTTTTCCCAACCTGCCTGCCTCAGAGCCTGTGGCTCTTGGTGTCAAACGGATACTTGTCGGCCCAGCACTGGTTCGTTGGATGGTGCCTCCACCCCTTTCCCGCCTCAATGGGGAACTTGGCCGAGGCAGTGGTCCTCCACAGGCGCTTCTTCCATCCGTTTCAAGACCGAGTCATCTCCAACGATGGGTTTCGTTCTCCGTTTCGACGTGGATGGCCTGGCCATGCCTGGCCTATTTTACTTGAAGACTGGCTTCCGAATACACACAGTTGTCAGGTTTCCCATCTCTTGGAGGGCATCTCCAAAGTCAAGCAGGCAAACGATCTGCACCCAAGAGGCAATGACAATCCTCCTGTTGCCCCTTGAAATCATTTACGTTCTATTTGGTAGTGCAAATGACCAAGGCAAACAACGTATAATTAACTCCTGGGGATGAGAAAAAAACGGTTTTGTTTTCATTGGAACCCAACTGAAGGACTCCTGGGCGCTGTCATCTTCAGCATGGCTCCATGTTTGGTCACGGTGGCAGGCTCAGTGCTTAAACAAAAGGTGCCGCTACTGGTGAGCCAGCAGCGCCGCAAGCGCCAATGCTCCGGATCTGGGCACAGCTCCGCAGTGAAGTCGAAACGAAAGCTCCGATTCCAGGGACTCTTTGTTAGTTAGGATGATGCGGGCATCTTGGGGCAGCTTATGCTGTATTGGATTATTTATATGCGCATCTTGCTTGTACATGGGCCAACGGCCTGCTGATAATTCCTCAAACTGGAAGGAAGAACATCTACAACCAGCCATGTAGAGACGGCAAGACAGCCTAGTTTTCTGTCACTTTTTTCTATGTGCATTGGAACTCTTGAGGCCGAAAAAGAGTCGTCGATGGCTTTCATCCAAACCGGCTCCGAAATCACCAAACGTCCGCGGACGAATGGAAGGGCGGCAAACCTCACTGAGGCCAAAACTGAGTGGATCTCCTTCCTTGAGTAGAACCCACAGTGCCCCGCTGCCGCATAGCTCCGTCTCCGATGGTGGGGGTGCTGGACGGCGGGACCTGGGTCAGACAGGCTGGACGATAGCCACACAGGGTGTGGATCAACACCAAGCCACCACTAGAGACGATGAGATAGGTGAAAACGTTTTCGAGGCGTCCAGGTGCCCGACACCACGTGGTTCATCATGTACTCATAGGGATCTTCTGGAAGGATTGTGCACACTACGCTCATCATCTCCTGCAGGATTAATTGCCCTATGAGAGTTGGGACATGTAATGTAATGTCAGGATCAATAAAAAACCTGGAAAAGTCCCCAAACTGACAGTAGTGCTGGTGGTTAATTTCCTCCACGCTAGACCCCCTATAGTCAATACTAATGTCCAAGTCAACTTTCCGATCCCTCTCTCTCTCTCTCCATGTAGATGGATATCTATACATATATATGGTGATTTCAGTGGCCAAACCTTGCAACCTGGACTTTGAAGGGTACGCTGTCACATGAGAGGTGACACTCATCCGAGTGTCATGTGTTCGTGCCCGTTCGCGCCCGTGAGAAGGGGCTCAAGTCAGGGGGCGTGGACGGCCGTTCGCCCTTGGTCGTGGACGACCCTCGGAGGCTGCGGTGTGAGAAAGACGCGCCCGGGAGCGCTTGGTGGGTAGAAGTGATAGGTGAGGGAAGGGCGACGCTTCCAGTGGGGAATCTACACTGGTAGCGGAGCCCAAGCCGCTGAAGGTGTTGAAGCACTTTCGGAAGTGGCTGGGTTCGCATGGCTACTGCTCGTGATGATCCTTCTTCGGGCTCCGGGAGCTCTGGAGGATCGAGTCATTTGCCATACAATCAGGTGCCTGTGTTCAAACCTGGAGAAACTGACTTGAATGAATGGACTCGCAAAGTCGAATTTCTAGCTCAGCTATGGCCTCCAGAACAGTTGCACTACTTAGCACCAAGGATTGCGATGCACTATCCAGAGTTGATCCCAAAGTGTTGCGCTCGAATTCCACCGATGGAGTTCAGGCGATTGTGGAAGCACTGGGTGGAATCTGGGGTAAATCCCGATTGGAGGACAAGTTCGAGCGATTCGAGAGAGCGATTTACAGCACAGTTCTAAAGGGTGACGAGACCAATGAGTCCTACTTGGCACGTCACGACCACCAGTTTGAGGAGCTGAAGAGCATGAAGGTTGGGCTTGATGAGTTTCGTGCTTACATCCTTCTTCGCAACTCCTCCTTGAGCTCAGACGACAAGAAACGCTTGATCGTGGAATCCCAAGGGTCATTGGATTATCGTGAAGTGGTGTCAAACCTCAAACTGCTAGGGAGCAAGTTCTTCCACGAGGTCCATGCCGGGAAAGCTCAGAATGTTCGAACCAAAACGTATGACTCGTCAACCTTCTACGCTGATGAAGAACCAGCCATGTTCATGTCGACTCCGGCAACTGCCGGTGATGAGGAGCCGACCTTTTTTGATGATCCTCTGGATGACGGACATCTGGAACAATGGGCCGAAGAAGGTGATGCTGATGCTGTTCTAACGGAAACACACCCATTCTGAAGAGTTGATCCTACTCTTAGCTTTTTTTGATTGATTTGTTATGTTCCAAGTCAAGTCAGAGAAACATCCCATCCCAGATCCTCCCAAACGATCGACACATCCCTATCAAAGCAGCAAAGAAAATGCAATCTGCAATCTTTTTCCAGCTCCTTCACACATGTTTGATGTGCTTGTCACCCCGTGAAGCACAGGCTTCAGGCTTCACAATACCCCAATGGAGCATTACTGGAACACAGCTGACATTTCGCTTTACTCTGAACGAAAGCATTTCAGCCTCACTCTTTACGGGCCTTTTTGGAAGGCCTTTGCAAAACAGCTGCTGCATCAGCCTCCTTAAGGGCTGTTTGCTGCAAGTCTGTCAAAGAACGAAACCATTGCCAAGCCCAGCTTTGAACGCCCATGATGGCAGCATCCTTTTTGCGCAAGGTCCCCTTCACTGACAAGGCCTCCCCTTCTGGCTGAAAACTGAGAGATTTAGATTTGCGGCCTTCGAAGGAAAATCCAGTGGGTAGATAGCACTGCACAAATGGCGATGATGATGAAGGGTTTCCAAAGTACGGCTTCACTGATGGAGGCCAATCACCAAATGGACGTGGTCTTGGCACATGAGGTTCATGAGTACCTTGAGCATCTGACCGGATCTCCTACAGAAGAGTCGCCACCAGAAACACAACCCAAAAACAGAGACTGCAAGTGTCATCAACATTACTACATCAAACATAAACAATTTACATAGAATATGGAGTCTCCTTCTGCCTTCCATCAGCAATATTGTTGTCTGCACCAGGGTTTTGCCCTTCTCCACACGAAGCTCCAAGATGAGAATCATCAGGGACATGTCCTCCCACTTCTGCACTTTGAGGAACATCACCGGTAGTTCCTTCTGAAGCTGCAGGATCATTCTCATCCAAGTCATTCATCTCTTTGAGTATCTCTGCAAGCGCTTCATCCTCAGTCTCCCCTTCCAAATGATCGTGTTCAGACTCGTCTGCATCCTGGTTGGTTTGCAAGTGGAAGGCAACTCAAGGATAAAACTGCTACCTGGTCTACGATCTACCTGTCTTCACCTTTCAGAATATTCAACCAGCACACAGCAGTATTAATGAAACATTACATTAACTAATTCAATGGTCACCAGTGAGACCCATTGGCGCAACACAGCATCAAAACCTGTCCTTCTGCTCAGGGTCATCCTCAGCAGTATTCTCTTTCCGCTTGCGAGGTGGTTTTTCAGGAATCAAAGCCAGGACTGTGTCTATGTACTCTTGGGTGCACTCCATGGTCTTCAAGAAAAGTTCCACCCGCAAACGATGAGTCAACTTTTGAGCACCCCGAATCTTCAGCTTGGCCATGAGACGAAGGAGAATACCAGGAGCCAAATGCAGGATTCCATGTTGTGCAACAAATTGAGTAATCGGTAGGAAGTCTCCTGCTGCTCGGAAGCCTAGCTGTCCAGCATTTGCATTTGCCACTGGCTCAGCTGGCGCAAGCTCAAAGGCCTCAAGCGAACTCACCGTCTTTTCCTGGGTATTGTGGGTCAAAATGAAGACGCCATCAGTGTCATTTGCACGAGCCACAGCCAGGCTGATCGTCAAGACACTGAATGGCCCTGCACGGAGGACCAACTCTGGATCTGTCTTAGAATCCTTCTGCCTGATCAGAGCATGTTCACCAATCACATTGCTCACCCAGAGATCATGATAGACAGCCAGCGCAGCCTCCTTTTTCTCCTCGGTTGAGCCATCGTATTCTGGAAGGTTCGCTGCAAAATCTTCAAGAGCTGAAGCCGCTGGCAAAGGATGTGAGGTTTCGTCAACAACGGAGCCTTGCACTTTGTCAGACCTGCTGTCGGTATGCCGAGTGTCCTGTCTGATAGTCTGAGGGCTGAATGTACCTGAGATTGTACCTGCTTCTTGGGTATGGCCTGGGCCCAATCAGAATCTGCCACTGTCACAGTTGAGCACCCACTTGCACGAGTTGCCACTGACTTCATGGCAATGGAGTGAAAGTTTCCAGCAGCTTGGCACTCAGCCTTTCGGTGTCTTCTGCAGGCGTCGCGCATGTCGTTGAACAGGAGTTCGCAGTGCAGGCTACTGAGCAGGCTGTCAGAACTCTTCTCATCTTTGGAGGATAGCCCCAGGGCAACACGCACAGAGTCCAGAAACGGTCTTGTACTCGTGTGTCCTGCTGCCACTTTGGATGCATCAAATCCAAAATGCCTCAGGTGCTACAGCAGGCCAACACGTTGAATCAACTACTAGTCGTAAAAATGAAGTTGAGGGCCCCAATAATGTACCAAATCTTTCAATCCCAACTAAGTTGCTCTGCTTTCGTGAGAACATCTCTGTAGATTTGCCATCTAGTGTGGGAAAATACCTTCCACAACACATCCTTTGAGTCCAATGGGTCAATGACAGTCTTGACAAAGGTCCACTCGTTTTGCATGAACTCTAGCAATGATGAAAGCTGACTCCTGTCAAGAGCACAAGCTGTGCGCCAGGGAAGTGCTCGGTGGGTGGCATCCAGGTCGCATGTGGCTGACAAAGTGGAGAGCAACAAATGTGAATGTAGGCGAAGCAAATCCTGACCCTCCTCATCTGTCTCAAGAGCGCCAATGTACTCAAGGTTTTTGAGCCTCACTGATTCGGAGATTGTGGTCCTCAGATCAGGTTGAATTGATGAAGGCCAACAGCAACTGAGTAATAAAGCTCAGCTCAGGCTCAAGAGAAACACATCAAAGCACAGACTCAGGTGAGTCAGTGTTAGTTAATCCAGGCACGACAAAAGCTTCTGAACAGTGCGGCCACTTGCCAAATAAACCACCTGTGAGACAGACGCGTTGGGCTTTCGCTGCATCTCTGCATCCTCACTTCAACTACCCCTCTCAAAACAATAACACAGGACCCTCCAACTAGAAACAGATAACACATACAATGATCATTGAAGCACAGATGAGCAACAGTCCGTCCCAAGTACTCACGAAGTGGCTTCATCACAATGATGACAGACCGCAACTTGTTCTGATTGCTGTCATCTGCCAATACCTGAAAGTGTGTCAAAACGCAAACTATCAATGTTGAACATAACTTAATAACTATTAGTCACAAAGTCAAACAATATCAAACCGGGCCAGCACACACACCAAGCATTCACACGATGCGAGAAAGTGCTGTCTGCCGATCCATCAGAAGACTTATCATTGAAGTCCCAGGGTGCCTTACCCTGCTGCCACCAAGAGTAAGCATGAGCCATGAGCTCCAAATGCCACCTGCGATCCCATCGTTCTGCATGGTCATAAAAGCTCATCCACCGAGAGTCAGAGGCTGCAGACCCCAGAATATTGCGCTTGCCTGTCAAAAGGTACACACAAAATAGCCTGAACATTCAGGACCAGACTATATAAATTATAAATTATATAAATCAACCCCAAGAAGTCCTACAACATTTGTTTGTTCATTGCTCCAAAGTACCAGCACAACCTTTCAGAACATCAATGAGCTCTTCTTTGCTAAAATCTTCTGCGTTGGCTCCTCGATCTCGGGCAACCCCAGAAATCCACATCTCCATGAGCTCATCTGCACGGCCATCCTTGAGAGCAGCCAAGAGCTCTTGCCTGGATTCCATGATTTTTTGTCCAAATCGGCCAGTGTTGAAGGGAGCCCGGCCAAATCTGAATAGTTTCATTGCTTTCTTGAGCAAACCCTTGATTTCCAGACACGAATGGTGACCCAGTGCTGCAGCAACTCGCCGAGACACTCTATGAAATACGTCCGGCCAAATCAGGCAATATGCATGGCTGTTCGCAAGATGTAAAAATGCGAGAAAGCCCTAAGCAGTGATGCAGCACACCACAATAGTCAATATAAATAACAACATATACGACATATCTTAAGTCAAACTATCCAATTCATATACACACATGTACAGACCGTGCTCAACTCATCACAGCATGAAAAGGTTTACATAATAATTATACTGGCTAGCTTCTTCTGTACCCTCATCAGCACTATAGATCAGTCTGTGGAAGGACTCGTCCAAATAGAACTGCGGCTGGGCTGTGAAGGTGTTCCAGTCATAGTTGAAGAATAATTCCATGTCATCATCACACCGAAACATCTCCTTCTCAAAAGCAATCATGGGAAGGCGGTCAGAACCACGTCCACAGGGGGTCAAAATGTTCTGTGGAATGCACTTGGAAAGATTCCATCCCGTAGGAAGCATGTTTCGAAGGCTGTTTGCGAGAGCAGCCAAATAAGCCTTTGTGGCTTGGCGATATTCTTTCCAGTCAAACAACGTCTTGGGGATCTTGACCACCTGACCCTCAGGAGTTGTTCCAGCTACCTTCATGGCCTCAGTGAAGGTTGCCAACGCTGGCTCAGTCTGTCCAGGGTCAGAACCGGCAGGTAGCAATTGTGTGGGGGCAGCCAAATGATGCCCATTCAAGCGCAGGATCACAGCTAACACCTGGGTATCATGTGGACAGACTTGACTTGACTAAGAATATGAGAGCTATTCATTCAACAAGGCAACAAACACGCAAATTAAACATAAAATGCAGCCAGTCTCAACTTCTCAACCAAGGCACAGATTCACCACCAACACTGGCACCATCCATTGCCAGATTGATCACTTTCAGTCTGGCCGACTCAATGTACTGCGAGCAGAAATTGCAAGTTGTTAGCAATGCACGGCACACAAACTCAGACATAGTCTTGGAACTCAGGCTGCTGTTCTTGGGCACGATGTTCAAGTCTTGTAGAGTCAACTCAGACTTGGATGATACAAATCCACCACCACGACAACAGAATCGAGAGACCAAAGCCAAAGACAATGCCTTTGACCCCTTCCTTCTCGACGACATGAGGAATGGGTGATTCCGACTCGAAACTGTCGGGTCAGGACACTTCTTCTGCATCGCAGCTTCAATGGCCACCTCACAGTGTTGACAAAAGCAGTGAACCAAGCTTTTGGTGAGCTTTTGCAAAGCTTCATTTCCCTTCCAGGCTTGCTCACCACGGAGACGAAACAGCCCAATCAGGACCAGGATTAAAGACAGGTCATCTCCAAAGTGTCTTGGAATCTTCTTCTCAAACCTGGCAAGCTCATCACAGAGATTGAGCTAAACCATTTAATATATATATAGTTCAAAGCATACGACCCCGAAGACAAACACCCATAATTTTTTCTAATCCAAATCTGCACAGCAAAAGGTACACAAAACACCTTCCCAACCCATTGCCATCAATACCTTGCCTTGTCCACGAGATCCCAGCATGTCTCAACACTGTTTGCAACTGCTTCGAGCTCATCTGATTGTCGACAACATCGACTTCACCACCACCACGTTTACCAAGAGGGTGAAGTGTGACATTGATCTTTGTAAAGTGCTCCATGAATTCCAGAACTGACATGCAGTGCTGAATAGTCCCTGCTTGTAGCGCATTGGAAGGAAGCACTGAAGCTAAACACTGGACAACACCCAGAGAAGTGGCTGCATCCAAAGGAAGCACAGCGCAACCACTTGAAATGGTTCCCTTGTACGAGCTTTTGCGGAGTACCTACATCAGGGGTCATGGATGAGGGGGCAGGGTATGACCTTTGGGATGGTCACTAAAGTGCAACACTTTCAGCTGGTCACGTAGTTAATCCACTTGTCCAAGTTGCATGTCTATGACCAATGCCTAAGTCTTCGGCAATCTCAGCCGCGACAACGCACCAGTTCTTGGTGTACCACTGGCTGAACGCTGTCTTAAATGTCCACCATTCATTGGTGGCCAGGTAGTTGCGATAACCCTGATGTGGATCCTCCACCTCAAAGGGACTCAATGTGAAACAAATGCTTTGTCCATTCCAGTATATACTTAATAATATATATATAGAAAAACTGCCTTCCCTTTCAAGACTCCAACCTGGACAACTGTCCAAACAGTGCTGTCTTTGCATAGGTAGAAGAATTCATGGGGAGCAATGTCAGACTTCTCTGTGGAACTTGTGGACTTCAGACTGGCATTTGACCCCTTCCGCTTGGCAGGTACATTGTCATCCGTGGTCTCCAATTTCAGACATTGCGGCGATAAGGCTGGCCACGGAGCAAATTCAAGATCCCGACCATGAATCTCCTTCAGCCTTGCTACATGAGTCTCGAAGCCTTCAAAGAGAGCATCACGCTTCTCCTTGTCCATAGCCCGAGCATCTTCAATCTCCATGAACCTAGATGCAATGGACTTCCTGATTTTCTCAAGACAAGCGTTGCGCTCTTTCTCTTTGGACTCATCCTCATCTAGGACAATGGGCAAAGCTGAGAAGAGCCCTCCAAGCTCCTCTTCCCAAACAGCCTTCAGGGTTGACCAGTCTACCAACACTACACATATATCATATATGCACTAAACAAAGACATTACATTGCATTACATAGCCAACATGAGTCAGAGCCCATGTTCACCTGACTCCGGACAGATGGCGTTGTTGGTCCCTTCATTGGGACATCTCCGTCAGGTTCTTCCCGACGAGAGGACATGGGAAGGCTAAGGTGGCCTGCCTGTTTTCCCCCAGGCAACCCACTATTTAGCAACAAAGTACCATTGACTGAGATAAAGCGCAGTTGGTGTGTATAGAATATATATTAAATGTCCTTTGCAACTTGACATTGATGTTATAAAACACAGCTCCTTGTATGTCTTTCTTAGAGCCCTCCGCAGTCTGCAGCACATACACATGTTCGACACAAGAAAACAGTGCATATAACACAATAAACAATTCCTGTTCAAGCGCTAGCATTTGTGAAACATATCGCTAGGGCAGTAGAGCACTGAAAAGCAAAGCCGCGCATCCAGGTTTTAAACACCATACAACAGCACTGTCTTGAGTGAATGCCATTGTGAAATTGAATTTAGCATGATTCTGAATTTAGCAGTCTGCTACTGGGATATGCCACTGTCTCGAATTTCCTGTCCATCTATGCAAAGAGGACAGTCACAGTCAAAATTGTGCTGTGCGTCTGAGAGGTAGTGTTCAGGAATCAGCCTGCCACAAATGGCCACGAGTTTGCTCTGTGAAGGTGCAGGAACAACGACATCAGCAGGCAAGGCCAGACCCTTCTGATTCACGGTCACATCATCAGCCACAAGGTCAACCACGACTGAAGATGAAGCCACTGCATTTTGTCCCGTACTTCTGCATTTCTTTTCTCTTGGACTCTCAGCTATCGGCAGCAATATACGCTTCAAAGTAGGGGTGACCATCTCTGCAGAATCCATGTACGCTCTCTTAGGATTCATCCCTGTACAATTATACGAAAAGCTGAAGAGCAAAACGTTACAAATCATGTACACACATAATCCTCAGTCAGCAACACGTTGGACAGAACAGTGCGGTGCGCTTCGTGAGAACGATGTGCTTCGTGAGAACGTTGTGCTTCATGAGAACGATGTGCTTCGTGCAAAGAGGATATTAAACGACTATATATTTATGCAATCATCTACCTATTGGACAAAGCACAATAATTTTTCTAAATTCAATCACCCAATTCTGAACAGAACGGTGTGTCTCATGAGAACGATCGTGTCATGAGAATGCAAATCACATGATTCAGACCCTCATACTGCAAACTTACCCAATCTCGCCCGCATCCTTCCGTCAAATTTTGGGAGATCAAAAACAAAAATAAAAGTAAAAAGTAGATCATCACATGGAACAGAGACTGCGCGTGAGAACGATGTGTTTCGTGAGAACGATCAGTGTTCCTGAGAACGATGTTTTGAGCCGCACCACCGAGAAGAGCTCCCAGTATCTACGAATTGCCAGCAGGGACAGTCCTGTCCCAGTGTCCAAAAACACTAGTGACCTGGCAGCACGTGTTGGCTGCAGAAAGTTCTAAAATGAGCAAAGGCCTGCAGTGCCTAGAATGCCTCAGCATCAGTCAGACCCACTGGAGGACAACCTTACCCAAGGAAGCTGCTGCTGGGTTGAGGACTCCGGGTCCTTTTTGGTCTCATCAGTCTTCTCTTTGGGCTCCTGCTCCACGTCTGCATTCGCACCACGGACTTCCTGACGCATTTCAGGCTTCGTCTCCATAGCCCGTAAACCAGCAAGTGCATTCACCAACGGGTTTGGAGGCTCAAGTGCTGCTCGATAGTCCTCCTGGTAGGGACAGCAAATACACCTGCATAGCTTTTTCACACAGCCATGAGACAACAAATACAATCAGACCTAAATGACACACAGTTTTGCCACCCCCTGTCCAATTTCTCCAGAATTCGCCTGCACATCTTGAAGGCAGCGCGTTTGCCCACCCATGACATGCAGGATAGCAACTCCTTTGACTCTGCAGAGGAGCAAGTCTCATCTGGCACCCATCCCTCACACAATCCCTCCAGGAAGAACTCGGGAGTGTCCTTATCTGATTGAAACCAAGAGCTTCTGAGATGCACATGCAAATCAATTGAAAGTCCAAACAATTGTCATCCAGAAGACACAGGCAAACACACACTACACTCAGGCCAGTGAAACAAGTGCAGCGTAATAATTAATACCAAAAGATACCACAAGACATGAACCACACATCAACAATATCCTTTTGCCTCGCTTTCCCAAACCAAACAGCAACTTTCAACACAATGTCGAAGGCACAAATCCTTCAGCAAGTAGAACCCTGAGGAAAATGTTCCTGTCAGCCTGCTGGGTCATGTAGCGAGACAGGTCTTCTGAAAAGAACTGCTCCACCTGCTCATTGCCAACAACCGTGGAGGGAGCAGTAGTGCTCTCAGTGCCCGTTGACTTCTGCTTCGGGGAAGGGCGGAGTGCCTGCCTCAGTCTGTCCTCTTTGACCTTGTCCTCCTTGAAGCGGTCACCAAAGAACTCATCTATATGAGAAGATGAAGAAGAGCTCGACTGCAGGGTTTTAGTTGTTCAATGGTTGCTTTTCAATGTTTATGTCTACAAGAATAAACATAATGCCAATATTATTTACTCACCAGACAGCTGTCGTTTCACAAATGAGCTCCTTGATGCCACTAGCAGACGATTCCCGATCGCACTTCTTCGAACTACTCCTTGATCTTGCCTTCCTCTTCTTCTTGGACTTGGAACCAGCTCCCTTGGACTTCTTCGATCCTCGTGACTTCCTCGCTTTTGACTTGCCACGATAGCCACGTCCTGATTCCGTTTGCTGGTCCTTCTCGATGTCATTCATAGCCTCCGTCTTCGCAGTCTGGATATAGCTCTTGAGATCACACAGCCACTTGGCAGCATTGGCGCCTTTCTGATGGGCATCTACCTCCTGGCCAATGGACCTCAGGAATGCCACAATTGTCGTTAGGCCACCACTACCGCCTGTCAAATTGATTGCCTAATACTGTTCAAGTCACAACAAACACATTGCCCTTTGGCTGGAGGTTTTGCTGCCATGCCACATTCGCAAGGACACCAGAGACGAATGCTGGCTGATGACAGACATGTTCTCCATAGAGGCAACTGGCACAACACATCTCATCACTCATGTATTTGTATTAACTACTATATTCACAGGTGTTTTCTTTCCATGCTCACCTACTCACAGTCAACCAGATGCATTGATCTTACACACCTGTACTACTACGACTACGACTACTGCTTCCAGGCACCTCGGCGAAGCACCTCCAGCAGTCTGTCGCGCCATTGTTTCTCAGCGAATGACATCTTCTTCGAAACTTGTATCTTCATGTGCAGACTGGTTTCTGACCCATCATCATGACGCTTCAGAGCAGATAGCGATTTACGATGAAGCTCCAGTAGTTCACCCCCCATTGCAAAGACACTTTCAGAGGTGAGCTCAGTGTGAATTTGGGCTATCAGAATTGCCAAGAGCTCCACCTTGAGGTCAGCAATCCTGGTCGTGTTCTTGCCCAGCATCAAACCCTTGGGTTTCCTGAGATACTACACATTCGACGATGCAGTCCACACTCACACTAGTACAAACACAACAATATTATTTTGGCAGATCTACACAACCGAAGAGCCACCCACAGACTGTCGTCTTCATGTTGCTGAACTAAATTATTGATCTAATTTGATGAAAAGCGACACTCCAAATGTAGACGCTACAGCCACTGCCGCTTTCTGAACCTCTGGGTCAATGGCTATCTCCTCTGAGCTTGATGAAGAAGATGAATTCTTGTCTTTCTTGTTCTTCTTGTCCTTCTTCACCTTTTTGTCGCTCTTCTTCTCAGACTTCTTGGTCTTCCCCATGGACAAACAAGCAAAGACTCGCCTACTCACTTCCTAGAACAGCACCTCTGATGACCTCGATCAAAACTATCTTGCAGCCTATATGGCACTCAAAAGGGGTTTGTCCATTCAATTCAGTATGATGGACACAATGTCAGTCATAAATATTCCAGTTGAACTCTCAAGACACTTGGAATACAGCTTTCGGTCCGTGTGCTTTGACATGTGTGCACCTTCCTTTTGCCCCAAAGCTTTGAAATGCCCCGAGTGGTTCAATATTCAGACTCACAGTGATTCACAGTGATTGAATCCAGCTCACCATCGAATTAGTATTCTCTTTCATGAATTAGTAAGCTACGCTCACTCCTTCCATGCCTCACCAGCTCACCTCTGTAGCGCATCCCACAGTCAATGGCCCCGAGGCACCGAATGGTTGAAGAAGCCTCACTTTACATCACACCCAAACACATGAGTCCGGGGAACAACACTTTGCAAAAACTACACTGACACAAATTCAAAGAGCTGCAAAGGCTTGGGACACTTCCATTGGAATACTTACTCTGCAACAAATAGCAGTCTCCTTTACGGTGACTGTAAATCGCAGAAATTTAAAAAGATAAATTACTTACAGATCACGGAGAGGATCATCCTGGTACCTACACCAAACATCCACAACACAAATGCTCCAAACTATTGAAAGCAACAAACATACTTGAAACTCTCACTCTGGCACAGTGCACAGCTATACGGACAATCAGTCAGTACATAAAGAACAGGTGAAGTAGCCTGAAGAGAAAAGGCCACAACTTCGATTGCTGCGCACCTGTATGTCCTGCAGACATCACTCTTCCTGCTTCTCCATGGTCATATATGACCATGTCATGTGTGTGCATGCAAACAACCCCTGCATCTAAATACATCATCCTTTGAACAGTACCAAATCAGTGGATATCTACTGAACTGCTCTCAGCATTTGATCGTAGTATTTGTGTCTCTCCCTCTCTCTGTTTTGTTTCTCGCTGTTTCTTTCATTCGTTCTTTCTTTCTTTCTTTCTCTCTGTCTATGGGCCTCAGCTTTAGTATTTTTTCGCTTGCCGAGCCCATGCGTGCTGCTGCTCAACAATAGCTTGCACCTGAATTATATAGTAAACATGGCCAGCCACCGAAGTCTTTATGACTCAGTTGGGCACTTCGACAAGTTCAAACTCACCATCGCTTTCTGTAGGCACATGAGCAGACACAGCTTCCTTCGACACCTGGGGCTCACTGACTGGAGACGTGGCTTCAGAAGCAGTCTGAGTCTTTGCTTTCAAGATGTTGCCATCTTTGTCCATGTGAGCACGAAAGAAAAAGGTGTAGCCTTTCCAGTGCGATTTCTGATCCTGCAACTCTGACTGAACATCAGTGTATTGGTCCACGAAGATGAGCGGTGCACAAGGCGAAGAACCGTCATTCAGCTCATGGAACACAATCGTGACTCTTTGCTTGGAAAGCGAAGCAGGGTCACTCAGTGGAACCGAACGGTGAAGAGGATGGAAACCCCTCTTCTTCGCCTTGCTATGTGTACGGCAAATCCACTGAGCGTCATCACCAATGATCCACTTATCAGCACCACGAGGAGGAACCTTAAATTCCTTTCTCTCCCATGGGCATGATTGAAGAACTTTGCTTTCTTCCACACAGGCCGCCATCACATCAAAGAAGTTACGATCACCCAGCAGTCAGTCACTTGAAGCCGATACGATGACAAGAGTGCGTTGTTCTCAATTTAAGGTCAAACAACTTCTAGTAGCACCAAACACCAAGCCAATCACAAAACACAGTCCGTTCACAATTAGCAGATGCTTACCCACCAGTCCACACTTGGATATGCAACTGACAACAAATGAGATGGCAACACTGTACTGTTGACAGTTGACAGTGCAGTTACAGATCCCATGTCCTCACAAGATATGGATTCCCACATCTTCCAGGCAGCGTAGACACATGGATGCTGCAAACCTGCAAAGAACATCATCACATACGCCCGCAAAAAAAGATTGAAGACTCACCT